TTGGACATTTCTCCCCATCAAAGTTTTCCACTCCACACCTGAGCAAATCCAAAGTGTGAATTTCAGTAAATCAATGCATGGTTACTCCTGGAAGAGGATGAGATTTAAGGACAGAGGGTTCTGAAGAGTCCTGCTCTGGTACTACACACGGCTCTAAACAAGCACTGGACTCTTCTTCAAGGCAGTCCTACCTTAAACCTTTTAATGTTTGCCCATGGCTAACTGAAGCTAGGCTGTAACAAAAAAATATGGATGCCTACATGACTTTTTGATGGCATCAGGTTTCAAGAGTCACCTTCTATTAGAAATTGAAAATGGTTTCCCCAAAACCAAGCAAAAGTTATAGAGACATAAACATTATAGACATTAAACAGCTACAGAGACATTTCTGATTCCAGGTAAATGAAGGTTGATTAAGCTGCTTTTTCAGTTAAAATCTGCCTGCCTGTTGCACCCCACAGCCCCACATCAGCCTCACCTCCAGCAGGGCAGAGAAGCCAATGCTTGAGCACTGATGCCAAAAAGCCACAAGCCATGGCCACCCCTGAGTAAAGCTCAGGCACCCTCTGGCCTGGGGAACACCTGATGGTGTTCCCTGATGTAGAAGGGCTGGAGCAGGGAGACGTGTCAGAGCTGCTGGGCTGGGGGCTCAGCCCATGGCAGATCTTTTGGGATGATTTTTGCAATAAAATCAGTGACAGCTGGAGCCACAGTTGCTGCCTTGAGCTGCTCGTGAATCAGATTTTTTAAAATGTTTTTAAAAGTCCTAATTTTATGAACATCTATACATATACATTTAAAATAACTTCCTGGCAGAACTAATAAACAGCCTGGATAATCATTTCTGATGAGCACTTCTGTAACTTTCTTAACTCTCTGAGTCTGCAAAACAGGGCTGAAAGGGGAGCTTGCCCATGAAAACTCTGATACTCCACTTTTGATCGCAGTGGAAATCATCTAAAGTAGGTTTTTCAAGGAGAAATACATCGTTACTTCTTCTGGGTGTCAAAAGGCCACAAGCTAATGAAAAAGAATGAAAAGGATACCATTAATATCTACTGTCTCTGCAACACTTTTCATCCCAGGATCTCAAAGCAAGGGGTGAAGGATGGCCACTATTAACCCCACTTTGCAGGGGAAATAACAAAGTCTTAGCAAGGTTAAGTAACTTGCCCAAAGCTTTGCTCCAAGCCAGAGGCAAGACACAGGAAAAAATAAGGCCCTGCACCCATATGAGTGGGTTTGTGAAGAGTTTGTCCTGCAAAGCAGCAAGAAGGAAGATACTGCCTTCCAGGGAGTCCAGCCTGCAGTCTGGGGGGATCAGGACAGCTCTCATGGGCACCTCCACTGTGGCTGGTTCCAGGCAGGTGAAACAAATGCTACCCTCACTGCTTTTATTGCATTTATCCGCCTGTCCTAGCAGTGGGGGAGAGGCTTGTACAGGGAATAGGTTCCTGAAGCTGAAGCAGAAGTGGTAAATCCTGAAGGCTTTGTAGTTGCTGTCCATAAAATTTTCCTTTGGTTTCTGACTTGTGCCCACGCATTTTTGGACTAAATGCATTTTGGTTTGAAGTGGGCTTCACCTGCTTTTCATGGTGAAATGCTCTGGGTGCAATGCAAGTTTCCCTCTGCAGGGGCTCAGGAGGGAAGGGCTGATGCTCTGGGGATGGAGCCCTGCAGGCTTGGAGCCCTCCTCCACTCCCTGTCAGAGCATCCCTGGCCACATTTATTCCCCAGGATGGTGAACCCCACCCCTGGCCTGCTCCAGCCTCACAAACATACACAGTCAGGTTCTGAACCCATTTAGTGCTGAGTTCTGAAAGGGGAATTCTGAATTCCCATTTAATTCAGGCAGCCTAGCCTGGTTTTCCTCACTAGCATTTTCCACTGGCTGCTTCTCTAAAAACAGTTCCTTTCCATTCATGGTAATGCACTGAAGCACTTGATTTTCAGCAAGGAATGGTGTCACCATTTTGCTACTAATAAAGAAGAAGAAAAAAAAACATCTTTCAATCAATCAGGGTCTATTTAACACATTAGCAATTTTCCTTCATTTTTCTGCCATCCTGCATTAACAGCCATGGGGTCAAATCCAGCCTGGTGTAATTCCAAAGGAGTAACACCAGGAATGAGCTTCACCCATTATATCTAATGTTGCTAAAAAGGTCTCGATAATAGATTTTTAAAGTTCTTGATTCAGAATACTAATCAAGTCCTTTAAAAAGAGCACTTGAGTGGGATGCTACTAAAACAAATATGCTCTGGTATTTTACACCACATCTTTCTGTCCTGTTGCTCATTTCAGTGTGAATATATGAGTTTTGGGAAGCCACTTTCTGCCATGAGGTTTATTCTCGAGCGGCACAGGGGTCATCCATCCCCTATCTAACACCTTCCTGCAGCCCAAAAACCAGCCCACAGGACATCCAGCCACATGCAGCTCCTAGCCAAGGGTTCTCCTTCATGGACCAGTTTTCTCCAGCTCTCCAGAGGCCAGTCCTCAGCACAGCTCCCACCACAGCACACCAGCAGCACCCTGTGACTGCACACTTGGAATCTCCAGCTCAGCAGCTTCTGGCTGTCTCCACCTGATGTCCCAGTGGGCACCAAGTCCCTCCATGGAGCAGATGCAGCACGGTGTGGCACCTGCTGCATTTTGCTCCCCAGATGTGCTTTGCACTGCTCCCATGGTACCACAGCTCCTCACAGCTCTGGGGCTGCCCCACCTCCTCATCCTCTCCTTCCAGCACCAGTTTCCTTTTCACTTCCCTCTGACCTGGTGCCAGATCCCTCCTTCCCTTCTGCTTTGGGCTGAGGGTACAGGAGAGCAGCATGGCTGCCCAGGAGCCTGCCGGGCCACGTGCCCCCAGCAGACAGTCCCTGTCACCACCCCGAGGGTAAACAGAGGGGCACCAAGAGCCAGTTTGAGCCAGGGATGAACCAAACCACGCTGGAGTGTGCTGGTGACTCAACATCTCACCAGAGTCCCCAGGTGAGAGTCCCCGTCTGACTCAGAGCCGAGGTGCTCTAACCCTTCCCCATGGGCTGCCCACAGCCTGCACTGCTCCTCCCGACAGCCAGGGCACCCTGCAGCATCCCCCACAGCTCCCACAGTGCCAGCAAGTGTTTCCCCAGGAAGTGTTTCCCCAGGGATTCCCCTGGCTGGCCAGTGCAGAACGTGGCCACCAACTCAGCTGAGAGCTGAGCCTTGCTCCGAGTCAGGAATGAGCTCAGGAACACCCATGGAGAATTATTCCTGATTTTCAGGGGGGAGCTCTGAAAGTGACTGAGCTTGGCCTCGTGTGGGCATCTAAATGTCACTACTGCTGGCAGCTGCTGCTAAAAACAACAGGGGTTAGAGCTCTGTTTTCAGAAAGCAGCGACTTTGGTGGGGTTTCAGGCCTCCCCAGGGGAGGCCAGCCATTTGTGGATGTCTCAGATGAATGCTGCTGGGGCCCTGATGACATTCACACAGGCTAGGGGCTGCTTCATGGCTTTTCTCATATCCCTGGCTGTACATTAGTTCAGTCCAGCTCACTCTTTCCCCACCTTTTTCCAGTGAAAAAGCTATTTCAAACCTGTGATAGCAACAGTGCTGTCTGGAAAAGGCATAATCTGACCTCCAGAATCCTCAAAGTAAACAGGAGGAGTGAACATGCCAATATTGCTATTCTATAATCTGTATTCCCCTCTGGTTTGTAACAGTCAAAACTTCCCAGGAGGAAATTCCTCTTCCAAGCAAGGGCAGGCTCTTGCTCCACAAAACACCACTAAACTCTTGGATACCTCTTCAGTCAGAAGAGAAACATGAAGAGATGAGTCAGAGGAGCTCTTCCTCTGGGAGCTCAGACCCTGCTCCTTCCACCCTCTGAAGGGATGCCCAGCAGGATTAACACAGCAAACCCCAATCAGTTCAGATGCTCAGATAATCTTCTAACAACAAATTCCATTTACAGAAGACACTCCCATAGCTCTTCAGTGCTTTGAGAAATCTTTTCTCCAAGTACCTAAACACAATTTTTTTTTTTTGCTGGGAATTCTTACAGGACTGTGCTAACACATCAGGGCATATTTTCAGGACACATTTTCCTGAAACCTGTTGCCCAGGGAAGAAAACCTGCATGCTTGATTATATCCATGGCCTATCCCAGGCTGATAATCACTGACCCTGTCCCTCCAGAGGCAAACCTCACCTCCCCAAGCCCACAGCCAGCAGAGTCACAGCACAGATGGCACCACACCCCCTGTGCCCACCCCTGCAGGGGTGGCTGCAGCTGGGGATGGGGTGTGTGGTGCCACCCCAGGCTTCCCCAGCAGAGATGCCTCTGATTTACACCCAGCAGGGTGCTGCCCTCTGCCCAGTGCCCCCAGCCCACGCGGCGAGGCTGGGGTGTCACTGCTAACTTGGCTTGGCAGGAGCCCCCAGCAGGCCCTGGGAAGGGCTCCCTGTCCCTGCCACATCTGCCAGTGCCATCCCCTTCCCCATGGCCACGTGCAGTCAGAGCAGCAGCAGGAACAGGGTTAAATCCCAGCGGTTCTCCAGCACAGCACAGTGAGGAAGCTCCAGAGCAGACACTGCTCTCCTCACCCAGGTAAAAGTTGAGAGTTACAGAGTAATGCTCTCACCTCCAAAACCTGATGGCTATGGTTTGGTGGGCAAAGAGGGTAGGCAGCATAAGAAATTAACTTTTGTTTTTCAGCATCACCAGGCAGGAGTTCACTGCAAAGCACAAGCTAATACATACATCCAGTGAACAGCAACCCTGTATTTTATTTCAGGTCTGTTGGGTACTGCAGGGAAGGATACCAAAGGCTGTGTTATTCTGCAGGAGCAGTTTTCCTTGGGAAAGTATAGCCAGACACTTAATCCCAGGAATATTTATAGTTAGCATAACTCAAATGGTGTTGTGCATGCAGTTGGTTAGTCTTAAGTGGAGCGTCATGCAGCTTGCATTAATGCTGGCACAGGCACTTTATGGAGAAACAGACTTTATGCTTACAATTATCCCAGCCCAATATGGAGTGTCTCTGACTAGCAGAGAGGAACTGATGCCTGCCATAAGGAAGCCCAGCACTGTTACAGAGGCGCCCAACGCCAGCTGCAGCAACGCAAACAGCAGCGGGAAACGGCAGCCACAACAAGTGTGGGATTCCTCCTCCTGGCCACTTTTGGGATCCCCCTTGGCTTTCTTCTGCTTCTTCTTCTTCTTCGTCGCGGGCTCCTGCGTCGAGCCGGTGCTCTTCTCCCCTCCGGGTGCCTTCCCTGTCTGGCTCTGGGAATTCGGGGCCGTGCCGTGCCGGGCTTTCTTCTCCTCCTTCGCCATGCCGGCGGGCTCTGCGCTCTCACGTGTGAGTGTGTGTGTGTGTGTGTGTGTGTGTGTGTGTGTGTGTGTGCGTGTGAGTGTGTGCGTGTGTGTGTGTGTGTGTGCGTGTGAGTGTGTGCGTGTGTGTGTGTGTGCGTGTGTGTGTGTGTGTGTGTGTCTGTGCCGCCGATGGGGCTGCGAGCGTTCTGCCCCCCAAAGCTCCGCTTTGTGCCGGCCGAGCTCTTCCTGGTATTGGAATCAAGGAGGCTGAACAAATATGGAAAACATTTGGAAGCAGATTGTCAGAGCCTCGAAATGCCACATATAGCCCGGAGAAAGGGGGGATGCGAGGGGGGTAGCGCACTGCCAACGCGCGGGCGCCGGCGCAGCCGTGCGCGCAGCGGGCCGGGCTGGTGGGAGCGCACCTCGGGGCAAACAGCAGGGCAGGAATTCCGCACCTCCCGAACACCGGGGAGATGTGCCTGGCCAAGGAGCCGGGAACGCTGCAGAGCCTGTGCAGGGAGCGGCAGGAAGGAGCTCCTGGCACCGAGGCTCCCGCGGGGGGGTTAGGGGCAGGCACAGCGTGGCTGGGGGCACCCACCCGCACCGCAGTGCCCGTCCCACACACCCCCTGAGCCGCTGTGAGGAGGGGCGGCCCCGCGGGAGGGAGCTGATGGCGTGTATGGAAAGCACGAAGTACAAATGAAAATACAAGTTAATGTCCAGGGGAGCCAAAAGGGATCCTGTCTCTTCCCAAAAGTTGCAAAAGCTAGGCATGTTATATGATGAAGCAGACCAGCAGTGAGGACGGGTGCTTCTGGGCAGGCAGTGGTAGAGCGTGGAGCAAACATCTGCTGAGCATGTTTCCAGTTATCCATAGCAGAAAGATTGTTTACGTTACCTAAAAGACAGAGGGGATGTCTTATTGTGGACATGTGGTCACTGCACTTCATCCATATGTGGGCTCAGGCTGGTGCTTGGAGACAGCACAGCAACAGAACTGGTGGAATCTCTCCTGAAATACTCAAAAATTGCTCTGTGGCTGAATCCAGCTCTGGCAGAGCCTCTCAGGCACTGGAGGGGTTCACCCATGGAGGTGCCAGCAGGAATGGGGTCTGCAGAGACTCGATTCTGGCTCTGTGGAGAGGAGGGAGCGACAAGAGGTGGGTGCTGAGTGGGGCCGTGCCAGGGCTGTGCTGGCAGCCCGGAGTTCAGCCAGGCCACGGTGCACAATCCTGCAAGGGAAGACCAAGGGAGGCAGGGAGGCTGTGGGAAGCTTGCGCTCAGCTCAGGCCAGAGGAATTACTCAAAAGCTTAGGGGTAAACAGGTGCTTAAATGCTTTGCTGGCGCGGGGCCGAGTGTGTGCAGCGTGTGTACGGCACCGCTCCGCCGTGCGTGCAGCTCCGTGTCCCCGCTGGCACAGGGACAGCCTGAGGACACGTGGGCTCGTGCTGCTGCCCCACAGGCACCAGTGAGGGAACCTTAAATGGCCCAGCCAGCCCTGTCACACCATGGGGCTGGTGCAGTTTTTTTCCTTTTCCATAGAAGCAGACAGCAGGAGTGCAGCGTTGGGAGGAGTGGGCTGGTGGAAAGAAGACATCAGAGACTGGAGAAATCCCCACTAAAACTGCCTTTGGATGTGGCAGAGCAGCTCAGCTGGGATTGGCCACAATGGTGAGGTACTCAGAGAGGATCTTGCACATGCTGGTATGGCATTGAGGAAATATTTCCTCTGACACACTGGCACTGCCTTCTGAGAAACTACTCCATTTCCAGCTCTTTATGGCATTTAAACAGCAATGAACTGTGTCTTCTGTATTAATAAATTATGATGTCACTTTGTTTTATGGATTAAGCAATATCCTCTTTGCTTATTTATAACACCAAACGGATGAAAGAAAACTAGAAACAAAGTGGTTTCAGATGCTTTCTGCACACATAACTCTCGTGCTACATCCATAGAGAGAGATTAAGATACATTGTTCAAAAAAGGAAGAGGAAAATAAACAAGAGGTGAAAAAAATCCTCCTCCTCTAGTCATGTTGAGTAGAGTATCATGTTTTCACAGTTTCCCACTAAGATGTTTTGTCACTATCATCCTCTTTTTAAAATATCCTTACAATAACTTGCACTCACGGATGTATCTTGCCTCTCAAAGCCACACACAACTATATTTAACCACAGCTTTGAGAAGGACAGGGTGTTCAAGGATCATCACCAAGGTCAGACCAGAAAGCACTGGCAAAGCTGAGGGCATGTTTAAATGATGCCCAGTTGAGCATCTATCCTAATAATAATTAGAGTGAAATGAAGTTAGAATTTTCTTTTCCTTTATGCCCATCCATTTCTCTGGTTCTATCCCAATGATCTTTACTGTGGACTTTCCCCCAGGAAAATCCCTGGTTTAGCACCTGGATTTGTGCTGGTGGCTGGATTTATGATTGCTGTTTTCTCAAAGGGGCCAAAATTCAGCTGCTTTATTCGTGCCGACATTCATATTGGTTTCAGTGGGAGCAATCACCTGAGGACGATGAACAGGATCTAACCCAAGGTCAATAAAATTAACAAGAACTTACCCTATGGCCAATAACAACCCTTGTTTATCTCTGAGCTGGAGAATCTCTGGTAAAACAGGTGCCCAAATATCCTTACTGTACAGCAAGTAACCAATAAATGAGGCCATGCCCAAGGGCACAGCTGGAATTTCTCCTCCAGGGCATACGTGGGATGTCCCCTCGGGTCCCAGATCCCTGCATCCCTTTTGAAAATTCCAGCTGGTGCCCAGATGCTTTGGGGCAGGAGAAGTCTAGGCCAGCTCAGGGGACATCTTCTTTGCAGTGACAGGTTTGGGTATGAAACCATGAAATGTGGCCAACACAGGGCAGAGCTGCCTTCTCCCAGCTGCTGGGTCTGGAGTAGCTGTGCCACACGGTTTTTCCAAGGAAAACAAAGACTTTAGTTGCCATCTGCCCTGGTCACACTTAGACAGGGAGCTTCTCTTTGGCTCCTTGCACACTTAAAGGCATATCCATCTCAGAGTCCCACCATTTCTAATCTCTGCAGCAATACATGGCTATTTAGAGAGAAAATTAAGGCTCAAATCAATTGAAAAAACTCCAGGCAGGGATAGTGCTGATTTTAAATTATTAAACTGTGTGTACCAGAGGTTCTTTTGCTGTGGCTAGCTGTCTCTGCAAAGTCAAACTCAGATATCTTACATGCTGGGAAGTTTAATAGGGACAGAGAAAAGAGACGGATGCAGGATTGATCTTCCATACTTATTATCTGAACCAGATTGTGTTTGCTGATTCCACTTGGCATTAACAATCGAGTGTAAAACAGCTGTGAAGGAACTCATAGCAATGACAAATTAAAAGAATTACATTTTTGGAAATTGAAAGATTAAACGAGGACACTGAAATAACATTAAATTTTCTCGAGTAATACATCTTCCGGATGTCACTTGGATTTTCCCAGCAACACAAGAATAATCATTACCCTTTTATGCCCAAAGGCCCTGATTAAGTATGTTCTTAAATTAAGCACATGCTTGAATACCCTTCCTGGATGAGGATGTTTTTTGATTCGAGCCCAGCTAGCATCTCTCATGTGGCACGCAGTTGTAATTTCATGTCCTTTACACAAAATGAGTCATGTTGCACAGCTTTTCCATGGCCAGACACCATCCCCTGTCAAACATTGCCTGCTCTTGTTCCTCTCCTTGCCAGAGAGCAGCGCAGCCCGGGTGACGGTGACAACAAGTCAAAGAGCACACACAGCGCCAGGCGTGGAGGCGGCGAGGTCTGGGCCGCAGCTTTATGGTGACACAGTCTTTCCTACTGCTTCTCCCAGGGCTGGGGACACACAGCACTGCATGGCACTCCAGAAAGCTGGGATTTTTTCCCCACTGCCATCTTTGCCCTGGAAACAGAGCGGGGTTGGCGTGGTTGGGCTGCCAGAGACATCCAGGCGCTCGTTCCCACATAATCACATTTATGCTGATATTTCTCTCAGGCATCAGCGCCCCGGCCAAGTGCCAGAGGCAGGGTTGCAGCACACAAACGCAGAGCAGCAGAATTATCAAGGAACAAAGGCTGGAACAGGGCTGTCCTCGTTGCCCCAAGTACTGTGGGACATTTGGCTCCCTTTGCCCAAGGAGCCACTCCACAAATTGCTGCTGACCCAGGGTCCCCTCAGAGGTGCCACCCCCAGTGTGTCAGCTGGAGTTGGGAGGGAGCCAGATGTGCCACAGCCAGCCAAAGGATCACCACTCTCCAAGCCAGCCTGGGCTCAGGAGAAGCTAAGACCTTGCCTAACCCTTGCTTCTTGTTCTCCTGATCCCCTCACTCCACAGCAAGCCATGGATTGCAGAGCTGGGCCAAGCACGGCCGAGTAGCCAAAGCTCAGCACAGAGACTGGGCCAAACTGGGAGGGGGCTTCTCCCTTAAAGCAAATGATGAAAGGTTCTCCCTGAAAAAAGGTTTAAAATCAAGCTGTGATTTCCAAAACCTCATGCCCATTGACAACAGATAATGACAACATGTAGCTCTTGAAAGCACATTTGCATAAAAGACAAGGCCAATTAGAAATGGGTCCAACACATGCAATCCACGCTGTTTTTTCTGCCACAGCCACTTTTAAAGTTCAGGTCATCTGGAGGTGAGGCTTGTTTTCAACAGGCTCTGCTGAGGTCAGTTCATGTTGTTTTGAGTGTCTGTGGGCTCTGCTGTGAGAGCTGGGTTGTGCCAGGTGACCTCCAGAGGAACCATCCATCCATCCCACAGTACTCTGCATGTGCTCCATCTGCCCTTTTGGCATCACTGGGGTAAGACCAAGGTACAGAGCATTTCAGTTTAGCTGGCTGGGATGACAGATGTGGGAAGAAGTAGAGAACAGGAGTTGTTTTGTGTCAGGGTACTCTAGTCCTGGAGGCCACTTGTTTAACAATGCACCTTACTCCTTTCAATGCCTCTGACCATTAAGTAAATTTGTGCATATTAAAAAAATCAGCTTGGGAAGAAATGGTGTCTTGCAGTCTCCAAAATGATTGTCCTACACCAGTTCAAATTCCTAGACCTTTGCTTTTGCTAAAGCTCCCTTAGGTGCCTCGTGCCTGGGGCTCCTCACCTCCAGCTGTGGTTCCCTGGATCCAGT